CTCACTCCTCTCTCTGGCTGCAGTTGCTCAGATTTTTTTTTTCCCCTTCTTGAATATGTTATCCCAGAGGCAGTACCACCATTGCTGATGAGTTTAGGTTTGGCCAGAGGCTGGTCCATCTTGGAGCCGGCTGGCACTGGCTCTGTCAGACATGGGGAAGGCTTCTGGCAGCTTCTCACAGAAGCCCCCCTTGCCACACAAACCCAATACACTTCCCCACTGAGAAGCATTTCTGAGTCCTCTCCCCACTGCAGCTTCTGCTAGTCCATGCCTTCCAGCATGGGCAGGCTGTATGTGCCAGCAACCAGAGCCCCATCTGTTACCTCTGCCAGGGTACCTCAGAGCCCTCCACCTGTACTAGCTGGGCTTTCCCGGCTGTAGTGTTTAACTCAGGTGTCTGCATTAAGAACTGTCTGTGGTCAATGGAAAGGTTTTAGTTATCTCTAAGGGGCAAATGAGTTCTTCCTTTTCTGCTGTTGGTTCTGAATATCTGATAAGCTCTAACTATCACGGTGCTGTTTTTTTAGGATCAGCATACGGGCATTTACCCAGCTCTTCAGTGAAGACCCGAAGGAACTCCCTAAACCACTCTTTGCAGACACCTTCTTCTCTTTACCAATCACTACAGAGGCAGGTTAGTTTCAGGCTTGTTTTTCAACAACTCTGGCAGGTGATTATATATTGTGCCTCGGAACACTCTGATATCTAGAACTATTTGCAAGGAGTGGCACAAAACCAGATTGTTGTGCATGACCTGAAGGCCACTCTGAAATGAGACTGGAGCCATGGCTTATCCAGCCTTAGTCTCAAAATTTGAAGGTCTGCTTGATGGAGTTGCTGACAGTAGAGGAAAGGGTGAACGCTTAGTGAAGCTATTGCTAATCGAAGTGCAAGAGAACCAAAACTCCCATATGATGGGCCTGTGCTTTCTTTGACTGTGGTAGGGAGTGAAAGATTTTTTGTAATGTTTGGAAAAAATAAGGACAGAAAATCAAGGCAGGTTTTAGCTAGGTATTTAAATACCTTACATTTCCTTGTATTTAACCGTTTTCTTCAGCTGATAGTAGCATATCCTCTGAAAGTTACTGATTCGTTGATTCTTCATATCTTTTTCTCAAGATATATAAAAACAGTGTTTTGTTTCTAGAGCCTCTGTTTGGAGTTATTGAAGGTGTGAGCGCTGGCTTGTTTCTGATTGTGATGTTAGTGGCTGTTACTGCTTTATTTGTCTGCAGACAAAAGGTTAGGTAAGTTGAGTCCCTTTGTCAGTCTCTGTTACTGAAGTCAGATCAAATTATACTCGTTTAAGCAAGTCAGATCAAATTACATTCATTTAAGCAATACAACATTTAAAGCATAACTGTAAAATTGGAGGAATGCACTGAACTATTCAAGAGAGAAAATCTATGTCCCCCAACATTTGTACACACTAAGTACACAACTAATGACTTACACATTAAGAGATCTATATATTCTTGATTCAAATACCTACTGATGTGAGAGAGAATTATCTCATAGAGGATCCTTGTAACTTGTAGTTTTCAGTAGGAGTCCGAATATTTCTGAAAAACTGGTTTATCATTCAAACGGAATGTCTTTTGTCAAAAATGAAATGTTTCAAATTAATTTCTTCTGCACTGTAGATGGGAAGCTCTTGAAACTGTTCATTTAGACTTTATCATTTCAGTTCAAAAATCTTAATGTATGACATTACCTCAGTGTCCAAAAGATTAGTTCAAACTTTACTTCTCATTTTTTGTCAATCATACTTGTATATTTCACATTATAGATGTGAAAATAGTAAATTTTAAATATGTTTTTAAAAAGTGAAGTATTCTGTCTCAACTTTGAAAAAAAACTTTTTTCATTGAAACCATTTTGCATGATTGAAAGCATTATGACATTATTGACATGAAATTCCTTGTGGTTTCTGAAATAAAAAAAATTCAACATTTCCATGACATGGGAAACTCTGAAAATCTGAAATTCAGTTCTTTTACCGATACAAAATTAAGTCTACTTTGTTTTGAATTTGCTTTTCAGATGTCAGAATTTCACATTGAAAAACTGTTTTCTGACTAGTCGTAGCTTTTAGCCAGAATGGATTTACCATTTAGCAATGTTATTCTTAGGCTCTATGAACAAATTCAGTGTATTCCTTTATATGCCATCCAAAAAAAAAGGCATAAATCATTATCAATAGTAAATAAAGTCTGCTTTTGCATATATAGACTTGTGCATTCCTAACCATTGCAGTACATAGTGACATACAGAGCATGAATCGATGTGTTTACCACCTTGCACATCTCGTTGCATTTTTTTAGTGTAGATAAACTTCAGACAGGGTATGGTTTCTTGTTGTGAGTTGTATAGCCAGTAGGACTGCAAGTACTAGTATGGTTTTCCCTTACCATACGTAAAGAGAAAGTGTTCTCTAAGGCAGGCATGTTGAAGGAGGAGATGACAGTGAAAGAATGAAAAGCGACACTAACTGGATGGAGTCAGTACTGCTCCTGCGGCTTTCCCAAAGTCTGTGGTGCTGCCACTTACTCCTGCTATGAACCTGGGCATCTCCTAGAGGCCTGGTCTGCAGAGTCTGAAAGTCTACCTACGTGTTCCTCTCTGCATATAGAGAATCAACCAATTTAGGGCCCACCTTAACATAGAACACCTCCCTTAATGATAGACTGGGCTGTGAGTGTTTCAGAGCAAGAAAAAAGTCTTATTGCCTGTGCACATGCGTACACTCCACATCACTATTACCAAACTAATATACAAGAAAACTCTGTGCCACAGCTAAGAGCAGTGTCACATGATCAGAGCGACAAATCAAAACAGACTTTTTCAAATCCCTTTTTTCCAACTTAATAATATAAGTTATGTTATTGGTAGCTCTTACCAGTATCAGAATATAATGGTAAAACAGAATGCCTTCCTTTTTATTCCAGCAATGGCCATGAAAGACCTACAGCAAGGCTGAGCATTCGCAGGGACAGGCCACTGTCAGTCCATCTGAACTTGGGGCAAAAAGGGTAAAATCAAAAGTTTTGTTTCTAAGAGCACTATTTTAACATGGCATCATGGATGAACAGCCACGTCTGGTCACTCACTGATGAAGTGTTTTTTTTTTTAAATCATTTCTAGGAACCGGAAAACTTCCAGGTAAAAAGAAAAAATTAATACCTAAAAAAGCTTCTTGATAACCAACTGGATAAATTATGACTGTGATTCATCCTGTGATTTTCTTCCTCCTGTTGAATATTTTAGTCCGATCAAAGTCAGTCATTTTGAAGCACACTTCACCAAACTTCAAGCAGACTCCAACTACCTCCTCTCCAAGGAATATGAGGTGGGATCCTAATCTCGGCAAAGGACTTGCTTTATGAAGGGGTGGGATGGCTGAATCAATGGGTTAATGTGTTAGAAAGGCCTCCATTTGTTTGTCTTATTTACACAAATCCAAATAAGTTTGAGAGTCTCACCTGAATGCCACTTGTCCTAATGCAGAAATCAGCTCTTCATTTGGCATAGTGTCTTCTGGTTGGCAGCCTCTGTCTGATACCTATTTGGCTGAGGTCAGGAGCATTCATTTGTGTGCCACATCTCTGTGTTAAAGCATGGAAAGCACCTGCCAGCCATGTGCTTGCTTTAAACCAGTATGATTACCTATTTAATTTCAGTTTGTTCTTTTAAAAACCCACCCATTCTCTGTCTATGGCCTTTGAGAGCTGATAAGCACTGTGTCCCCCTGTGTTGTCACATTCTTTAATTATTTTCACCTCACATTTTATTCCTACTTTTTTTTGCAGGACTTAAAAGATGTGGGTCGAAACCAGACATGTGACATAGCACTTCTGCCAGAGAACAGAGGGAAAAATCGATACAATAATATATTGCCCTGTGAGTTTTGGGTTTAGTTGTGTAATATTACATCACAAAGCTATTTTTCACTTTTTTCAGCAAGCCTTGTGGAAAAGAGAGTGCAGCTGATACCTGCCCTCCTTCCTGTCAGAGATGAAATACCTCTGCCAGTTCAGGTTCTGGTGCCTGGAGGCAGATGATGTATGGCCTTGAATGGTTTCACACAGACCAGTAATTTCATTTCACACTAGAGATACAATGACTAGTATTCAGTCTGGAGAGAAAAAGCTCCAGCTATTACAGGCATTCAGTCACTGCTGATAACAAGGACAGTAGAAATAACAGTAGGGGTGTTTACATATGGGGTGTCATCCATTCAGTGCTTTTTGACAACCTTGCCAAATCTCTCTTCTTCAGAGGACACAGCAAACCTACTATACAATGTAGAGCTAGTGTCCTTCTGCATGGTAAGACACATGTGGGAGGTTAGCCCTGTTCTCCTGAGGCAAGACCTGTCATTTAGAGTTTCCCCCTTTAATCTCCTGTCTGTCCATTTTGGAGATAACACATGCTGTGCATCAAGCAGAAACACCACATGACTCGCTGCTTCACATGCTGCCCTGCTGCTGGATGTGGTATGTGCTTGCACAGCCTCACAGTGTCTATGTGTTCTGCCTGCCATGCCGGGTTGGGGAGCATGCCTGCAATGTACAAGAAACAACACATGACTTAGATCCACATGACATGATCTCACAAATAAGTGATCTGATAGCTCAGGCAGTCTGTACCTCTCTGAGGTACTGGAGATGCCACGGGTCCCAGGGAAGGTAGTTGGCCTACTCGCACATGTTGGCTCAGGAGCTGTGCAGACCACTGAGGGACTTCCACTTTTTCAATGGCAGTGCTGGGCACCGCTCTGCAGTACAGCACACTGCTGTCGGGATCAAAGGAGGATGTTGTTGTGTCTCTTTTGTTGCCATAACAAATCCTATGCAGTTCAGCAGAGGAATTTTTGGATATTCACTGCTTCCTTCTCACCCATTCATCTCCTAGTCTTTGGAATACTCCACAGCACTTGTGGATGAAAGAGGCAGTACAAAAGTAAACAGTTATTCCTCAGAATTAGCCCTCCATAGAAAATCCCTGTAATAACGCTGCCAGTCCTTTCACAAATGCATTTCTGTAAATGGGAGAGGGACTGAAAATCAAGACCTAGCCATAAGCCTCTTGTAATCAATTTCTTCCTAGATGATACATCAAGAGTGAAGCTTTCCAATGTGGACGATGACCCTTGCTCAGACTACATTAATGCAAGCTACATACCGGTAAGTCACTCAAGGATGATATTTTACAGTCCTCCCTCCAGTGGTAATTTGTCCTTCAACTGAAATGGAATATAAAGCTGGATGCTTAAGGCTCCCCTCCCCCTTCATTTATTCACTTGAGCTAAAAGTCTGAGAACACATTTTGTGGGTGTGCTGAAAGGTTGTGTCTGACTGCCATTAAGTTAACTGTGAGTGATTTAGCCAGCACTTAAGGACACTTTCTTGGATTGCTATAGTTATGTAAGATAGCAAGTCTAATTGACCAAGGACACATTTTTAAAGGTCACTGATTTTATACAGTGTCCACAACAACTGTAGCTATCACTGCAGGTGGCATCCTCATTGTAGAGCTGTAGCTCATCCTGGCAGTGTTGGCACCTTGCAGGATCGTGAAATGAGTTGAGATTACAATAATACCCTTTGCCAGAGAGTTGTGATTGATAATTGCAGTGGCTTTAGCAATCCAGATTTCAAGCCAGAACTCAGCTAATTTATTAAAAACGGTAAATAAAACAAAAACCCCTAGTTGTTCCAAAATTGCTTGAGACTATGCTGAACACAATAGAACAATGAAAGGCTTTGACTGCCACAAAAGGAACAGTATTTAGATACACTGCTGCAGTCTATTCCTTCTCTCTGCTCCAACCAGCCTTCTGCTTCCAGGTCCAAGACAATAAAATAGCTCTCAAAACTATTGTCCCAGCAAGGGCGTTGTTGCTGCAGAGCCCTGGCTGCAACCCCATGGCTTGTACAGTGGCTTGAAGACCTTTTTTCTTCTGCCTTTATGGAAACTAATGGACTTCTCTTCACTTGCAGGGCAGTAATTTCCGCAGGGAATACATAGCAACTCAGGGCCCTTTGCCTGGTACCAAAGACGAGTTCTGGAAGATGGCATGGGAACAAAATGTTCACAATATTGTCATGGTAACCCAATGTGTTGAGAAGGGACGGGTGAGTAGTGACTCTTCTTTATTATTAATGACTGTTTTAACATCTATTAAAAGTTTATGCTTAATTATTATTTGCATCATACTAATGCCAAAAGCCCCAGTCAAGGAGATGTACAGTAAGAGATAAGAGGTATAATCTAAAGACTGGAGACAGATTCAGGCTGTGAAGTGAGGATGCAGTGACCATCCCAAGATCATGCAGCATGTCAAGACTAGAGTTAGGAACAGACCTCAGTGTTTCTGGTCTCTAATCCAGCACTTTGCTCACTAGTACTAATATAATCCCCTTAAACATGCAGAAGGACAACCACCAGCAAAAAATGTCTGTTTATCACATCATCTCCAATCAACTATTACTTTAAATGTAAGCTCTAGAGAGCAAATGTTGATCATGAAATACATGGAACTCTCTCTGATGCATATGCTCTGATGTAGTAAGCAAAGAGAGCACTCGTGCACTTAACAGTCTTTACTGAGTGCAAGTAACAATCAGTAACAGTCTTACTGAGTTCTTCACTGTAAGGGTGGTGAGACAGTGGAACAGGTTGCCCAAAGAAGTTGTGGATGCTCCATCCCTGGAATTGTTCAAGGCCAGGTTGGATGGGGCTTTGAGCAACCTGGTCTAGTGGAAAGTGTCCCTCCCTATGGCAGCGGGGTTGGAACTAGATGATCTTTAAGGTCCCTTCCAACCCAAACCATTCTACAATTCTATGAAGTATAGGTAGGTTATTTATCTGTCTTAGCAATCCATCTCCCCAGGTATGACCACATCCTGTACCCTTTGTAAGACAGGGACTAGATCTGTAAAAAGATTAAACCAACTTGGAGTAGTGATCATCTAGTGGCATCATCCTTTCATTTTACCGTTTTTTCTTGAGGACATGGTGAAAGCAGACGCAGGACAGGCAGCCACCTGTCTCCTCCTGCACCTCACTGGCTCAGAGTGGGACCCCACTCTCATGTCTCATCAAGAGACGGGGAAGTGGGCACTGGAGGCCTAGCTGTCAACCAAGCAGAGCTGTGAGAAGAATTGGTGCAGAAAATGTGGCATCCAGAAGAGAGCATCAGTGAAATGCTTCCCATTCCCCCAGTCGCAAACATCTAGGATGAGAACTTCCACTTCCCAGCCCCATCCCAGCCTGTTCCCATCCCAGACCCTGTTTGTTGAGCTGACATGGCAGGGGGTGGCATCTCTATGAATTCAGCTGTTGCCATTCTTCCTTCATCCTCAGGCACAGGAGGTGTGGTCTGCTTCTGCTAGTGCTGGATGGAGGCATTGTTTGCAGCTGTTACTGACACTAAATCTTCTTCTGTTTCCCTGAAGGTGAAGTGTGATCACTACTGGCCGCTTGACCAGGATTCCTTGTACTATGGAGACCTGATCGTTGAGATGCTGTCTGAATCAGTGCTCCCAGAATGGACAATAAGAGAGTTTAAAATCTGCAGTGTACGTTTGTGTTAATTTTTTTTTTTTTTGATGACTTGGCTTAAAAATACCTGCAAGGCTAAATTAGGAAGGTTTCTTCTGCTGTCGCACAATTTCATCATGCCCAGCTCATCACTGGTGGCAGCTGTAGCGTTTGCTCTAAAGTGCACATTATGTGTGTTCCCTCCTCTCTCATCTGTTCTGATGACCTGCACTTTTGTATCCCAACAGGAAGAGCAGCTTGACTCAACGAGGCTCATTCGTCACTTCCACTACACTGTCTGGCCAGATCATGGTGTGCCGGAGACCACCCAGTCCCTGATCCAGTTTGTCAGAACTGTAAGGGATTATATCAACAGGACTCCAGACACAGGACCAACTATTGTGCATTGCAGGTATGTGCAGCAGCAGAAAGTCAGCGGCCCAGAGCCTTTGCGCATACCCTTGGGAAGATCCCAAATATTCATCACTGTTAGGCCATGGGCAGCCACAGAACCCAAGAGATAGCTGATGGGCTTAGGTCTCCAGATACATCAGAGCAGCATTCCCAAGGCACACGCACTCACAACCTCACCCTGGAGATGCCCTGAAAATGATTCTCAGGGAACCACTGTGTTTCTGTGGGACCACTGGAGGGCACTACAGGTGTCAGCAGCTGCCACTGCTCATAAGCTTTTGCATTCTTAAACTGCCCGTGTGCTGCTGTTGTGGCTCAACATCTGCATCACAAAGGGGTGTTTTGAAAAGGTAAGATATACCCAGGGGTGTATCTGGCTCTGTATGGATGTTGAGACTAGTTGGCAGATCATCCTTTCCCCCATTCTTACTGAGACTCTATCTCCTTACTGCCTTCTCATGTTGTTCTGCTGTTGTGCCATCTCTGGCAGCTATAGGGCTGCAGTTTTTCCTCTGCTCTGTGATCCACCCTACACACGTCTACAAAAAAGGCAAAACTGGACTGCCTGATCCATGATCCACTAGCCAGCTGCAGCAGAATATAGGGTTACAGAGTGAGAGAGAGAGTAGTGTGGTGCTGTGTATCTTCTAGTAAAACCGTATGCTCCCTGGTGCTACCTGAATGTAGTATCTGACCCCTCCACCCATTATATGGGCTGAGGCATGTATCTTACATGACCACCACCTTGACATTGTGCATGTGCTGCAACATGTCAGATGTCTACAGTATCACTGGCAAGTCAACTTTCCTCTTCCCTGCCTCCTGTCTGTAAACCCCACCTCCCAGCATTTCAGTTACTGGGGACTCTCGGATACTTTGCCCTTCCGCAACTTACCTTTTAGAATCAAGCCTACTGGTTCATCCCTGGAGAGAAGAGGTTTAAAAGTTAAGCAGGTGCAGTCTCTCAGTGTATCTCAATGACTGAATTAAAAACCCAAAGCAGAAAGCAGTATGGGCAGTAGCAGAGATACCTATCCCTATCACTATCACTATCCTTTTCTCCTTCCTAAACAAATTGCACTATAAAGTGTTTGAAGTCCCAGATGTGCCGTTTGAGCAATGAGCTTCTCACCCTGAAGATCTGAACTTTACAAAAGTATCACATCAAGATAATGCTTTGGTCCATCTCCTTTTAAATCTTTCGGCTTGTTTTCCTTTCCAGTGCTGGTGTTGGCAGGACCGGCACATTCATTGCACTGGACCGAATTCTGCAGCAGCTGGATTCAAAGGATACCGTTGACATTTATGCAGCAGTACATGATCTAAGGCTTCACCGTGTTCACATGGTTCAGACAGAGGTAAGTTTTGGATAGTGTACAGTACAGCATACCAACTCACTATATAATAGTCTGTCATCTTAAGGGCTATCAAAGCACGTCACAGTTAACTCCACTGTGAAATCCTAGTTAGGTATATTTTCGCTCTGTGGGAATTCCTAGTTCAGGATCGTTTCCATTGACTCTCATACAGCGGGTCCAAACCATAACAAGTGGTAGCTATGCTTCCTGTAGATTTCTCCTGTTGGCACTGGCCCACAATCACCCCAGCAGTGTTATGCATCAAATGCTTAACAGCACATTGTTGTGTTAGTGCAGTGTCCAGTAAATGAGCTTTGAGCAGAGACAGGTCCTTCAGGGATGGGTTTGGAAGACAAGCCTAAATCAGCCAGATAGGTTGACATAATAGGGAAAGGGAATGGAGGGCAGAGAAAATTAGATGTGCATAATTTTAAAGCTCTAAGCACTGTGACCTTGTGGCTTTGCAGTTCATTTTTTATTGAGCTGCTCTGTCATTTTCATTAATGGTATTGGAAAGTCGATCAGCATTCTCCTAACATACTATGCAAAAGCAAGTACATTTATTCTCGAAGTACAGAAAAAGTACATGTTCGGGATTTCTTTCTGTGCTTTTAAAACTGCAAGCAAATCACTTTACACTAATAGCAGCTAAACACTTAGGAGCTGATTTAATAAAGGCAAGTTGTGGAGGTAGTCTTTACATTTTCCCTGTGAACTGTTAATAGAAGAATCAAAACAAATTTAATGGGTCTGCCTGTAGCTGGATACTAATGGAGCTCTTTGTTGCAACTCAGAAATGAAAATGTTAATGACAGTACTTCCTGATAGATGTAAAAGGCGCACATGGCTATAAAGAGGGGCTCAACTGGGAATGCAAAAAAGAGATTTCCTGGAACTATCTTAATCACAGAAGACCTCCTGTTGGAGGGGAGACAGATTCTCAGCTTGGTCTGGGCATCCTCAGAGACAGATCCATCTCACCTTCTACATTCCCATCAGCCGTAGTCAGCAAAGGCAGACAGGCGTCTCAGGAGGGTGGCTCTTTTTCCCTAGCTGGAAAAAAAAGGCAACTACCTCAAGAGCCTAAATTTGACACCAGGCCTATAGACAACTGAAGTTGCTCGTGCCCGCCTTTGGCATGAGCATGACATGACATCTAAGTCAAAAGGCATCCAGACCCAAGCAAAATAGCTACAGCGATAGTGAGAAGCGCCCCATTATGTGACTACCAGCACTACATGCACTTCTGCCCCAAACCAGCAGTGGCTCAAGTCTTACCCTGATCCCTGTTGTAACCAGTCCTGCACTGGAAGGATTCACAAGCAGCATCCCAGAGACAAATTGACAGAAAGCTTTTATAGCTCACACATACTCACCCCACTTAAGCTGTAACGTGCTTGCAGACTGACCATGTAACTGTGACCGCTGAAGGCCGCTGACCTGCTGTATTCTCAGCAAGTCATACTAATTTGAACGGTCAGTTGCATCTGTATATGATTTCTGGTTTGGAACTGCCTTTCATCAAGGTAGCTTGGAGCACCAGCAATACAATCTCTCATACTCCTGCAAGAAAATGAAGTAAATTTATCCTGGAGTTTTATGATGATTCTAAGTTTGCAATGAGCAGTGAATTATGAAGTAATTCTTACACATCTTTTAAGAAAAAGTAAAGGAGGTGGGAAGAGGGGGAAGAAAAGATCTGCTCCACGAACTCCATTTGATATGTGTGAAGACCCTAGTTCCTGGTGTTACCATTCATGTCTTGGCTTCCACAATCTGTTTGGGAGTTGAGATAGGTCCTCATCTGTTCATATGGTGGAAGCCAAATCCCACTGGGGAGCACAGGCTAGCAGATAGGACTGTTTGCAATGAGATACTCCAGCCAAAGGTCACAGCACCATCCTGCTTGACATTATGCAGTCACAGTAAAACAGCAGCAACAAAATCACTGCCCCAGCTTCAGACTTGACTGAAAGCTGTTTAAGAGAAGAGGCTGCAGCTGGACACATGCAGGGGAGTAACAGAAAACTCTGTCCATCAGCACAAAAAGCAGTGGGCTCAGCACTGCAGCTGTCACACAGGCAGGGAAGCTTTCCACCATTTCAGTCCCAAATGGTCTCTGCCAAAGGAAGTCTCCATGACCCAGCCAGCTTTCCACCGAATTTGTGGGTGGAGTGCAAGATTCTGCTCAACAGAAACAGCAGCTGTGTGTGCATAATAGCAGGCATCCTCACTTTCCCAGAGCCAGAGCACTGAGAAAAATGCACAGAGCAATAGCTCTTGTGAAAAACAAGTAGAAGATGTGGTGGGAGGAAATGCATATGCTTGTTGGAGGAATTATGTCTTTGAGATAAAGTAATATTAAAAAGGTACACCTTGATATATAAAGATGCTAGGCCTAATTTTGGGGTACCATGCTACACTAATCAAAAAACAATAATGACCCATGTCATAAACCACAAAGAGTAGCAAAGCATGGGGATTTAACAACCTATTCTATCAAGGTAGTTTGATAAATAGTCAATAACATGCTGACCCTCCCTACTTTGATTGTGAATGTCATCTTAGCTCCCTTCTATCAAAGACACTCTTCAGAAAAGACAGCCTGTCATTCACCACGTAGTCAGAAGCAATCTTGCTGCAACTTATATTGGATCAAAAAAATACTGCTTTTGCCAGAAAATTTGGGTCTGTCAAAGTTCTGTGAAATATTTATATTGTGATAAAATTCTGTGGAACTTATTTCTTTTCAGAACAAAAAAAATCAGGAAATTATTTGTCTCTTCTGTACGCTTCCCTGTACATATTAATTCTGTTACACATACTTTATACCAAAGCATTCAGAAGTAGTAGCTATCCAACACAGCATTGTGTGAAATTATGCCTTACAGTTGATTGATAGAACTTTCACTCATTACATGATCTGTCAAAACACATTATGTTCATTTATGTTTTACTGATAGCATTTCTAAAAACAGGTGATCACAAAAGTTTACTGTATTACTAGTATGAAAAGGAGATTCATTCTAGAAGTCTATTTTCATTTTTAATGCCACCCTTGATTTTGTGTGAGGCAGTTAGCCTGTAATGATTTTTCACAATGCAGAAAATTAAATTACAAAATTTCCCAGTAAATTAAAAAAAAATTCTTTTGTAGTGTCAATATGTATATCTACATCAATGTGTGAGAGATATGTTAAGAACCAGAAAACTTCGCAGTGAACAAGAAAATCCCTTGTTTCCAATATATGAAAATGTGAATCCAGAGTATCACAGAGGTAAGTGCAAGTTTATCAAATTGTAAAGTTTTTCAAATGTAATATCTCATTGACAATGTAGTTGAGGGACAAAATTGTGCTATCCCTTGCCATCAATACTTGTTCTCTTCTTGGACCTTCATTTCTTCACTGTTCTGCTCTTGTCACTCTTGCAATTGCATCTTTATTTCCACCGCAAGTAGTCATTACAACATCTCTTCCTGCTCCTACCTTACCTTCATGCTCTCCCTCTCTCACACTTCATGATTCCTGTGCTGTTGGGGGAACTGGACCTCTTCCCTATTATGATACTGGATTCCTCCTTTACCTCACCGGTGTTTACATCATTTTTAAGCACACTGAGGCCACTGTCTGGGCTCGCTGGGCTCTTTGATGGTGTTCAATTTCTGTCCTGAATCACCCTCATTTTCTGTTGACTGTATAGGTGGCCTTAGGAGACTTCCCATCTGCCTTGACTGGATAACGTAGGTGTCCAAGGCTGTGCTCTGTGCTCCTCCTGCAACTCTCCATCCTTATAGGCTCTTTTCCCTAGCCTGATCCAATGCCTTGGGGATAAGAATTGCAGGAGTAGCAAACCTGGCACTAGCATTGCCCTTCACTGCCTGTTCTCATGGCCGGAGAACCAGTCTGGAGAAGCTGTGAGTAGAGGTGGCCTGTGTGTCCTGGTAGAGCTGAGAGCTGTAGAAGTTTTCAGAGTCAGAGAGCAGGCTCTCCGTAGCTCCTCAAATTTGAACATTAGGAGTTGAGATTATATGATGAGAGATCAAAATAATTTTCTTGATCTAGCCTGTAGAAATCAGAGTTGTCATCAACAGGTAGAGCAGGATTTGAGGAGGCCAAGGACTGAAATAACCAGGGTTCCACAAGTAGGGAGTGCTAGCAAAAGCAGAGGTGGGATAGGCTCTCTGCTGTCACATCAGTCATGAGCCAGCGCTGCTGCCACACAACCACCTTTCAGAGCACTGTAGTCAGCTGGCAGAGCTGAACGTGAAGCCACCTGGGTTGTTTTATTTTTTCTAATCTCAGTTTTTCTTGCTTTCAGATGCTGTTTATTCAAGGCACTAAGAATGTTACAGACAACTGCATTTGTGACCACATTTGTTAACTAGGGGTTTTGTTTGGGTTTTTTATGTATGTATTTCATGCACTAGAAAGGTGCCAGACCTTTCTGTTGAGACTGTGTATAATTTATTGGTCTGGTGATTTTTTAAAAAGATATATAATTTAAGTGTAACAGATATTAATGTATATAATTGTATTTTGGCATTATGTAAATATGTATTTTTTCTATATTGTTTATATTAATATTAAGCTTCAGATAATACTATTTTTTTCTTATCACAGTTTTTATGAACTGTTCTACATAAACTATTTTAAATTGTATGGCTGACAGGACTGCTGCATTTGGGGCAGGTTATGTACTGGCATGTAACACACAGGAAAAATCCTATAAAGGAGAACCTCATTTTTTTTAAGTAGTTCAGTGTGTGTGAGATGAAATAAGCTACTATTAAGCAAGGAAACAGTAGTCCTGTATAGGAATTACAATGCTACCCTACACTTTAAACTTACTGCTTGTGATCTGACAAAAATGGGTATAACCCATAACACAATGACATACCTTTTACAGAACTCATTAACAGCCAAGCAAAACAGGGTCCACCTCACTAGAAGCAACTGTTTCAGTCTAATGTGACATAGTAGAAAAATATCAAACAACACATGCTGCCGTGAAGTCTAGCAGACCTTTCCCCCACACACATGGTTTGAGGGGAGACAGGTCACATTCTGATTTCTTTACACTGGTTTAAGAAAGCAGAAGCAGACCACAGCCTGTGTCTGTGCATTTTCACTTGGGTACAATTGTAATAAGAAAGGTGTTCAAGGAAACACCTCAGACATTGATGTTGACAAGACCTGTAAGGATGTGAAGTCTGGCAACTTTAAAAACATTGGCTCATTAAAAACAATGCTATTCCATGACAGCTAAAAAAAATAGAGATTAGAAACGTATTGAAATAGAGACATATGAAGGTATAAATCTCACAGTCTACACACTGACTTCGGCCTTAAGCTGCTTGCAGCGTAGCTGCCTTGTCCTAAGTGTTGGTCTCCTTCGAATGCCACTTGCTTTTGCAAAGGGAAAGCATGGCCCTAGCATGCCTGCATAGGAGGACTCCTCCACTTAGATGTTGCCTGATGTCACCACCTCCACAAGGGCAGTTGCAGTAGAAAAAGGCTGGTCAGTAAACCAAGGGCTGTAGGCTGGCAGGGCTGTGCTAATCGTCGGACGACTCAAAGCATTTAGTGATTAGCAAGAGATACAATCAAAGAGCATTCACCAGGTATCCTGCCCAGCCAAGCAGATTAGGCACATCCTCTCTTCTCTGCAAAGAGTCTTCTCATTCAAGGGACTGATTTGAACACTCTATTCAGCTATTCTCTTCTGCTCTTCAGACAGATAGAGAAGAGGCAGTACACAGTTCTTCTGCATCACAAAAAGAAGGAAGGGCTTGATAGTTCTTCTTTTATATATCTACCCATACTTTACCTGGAGAAACTTAGCCTGCTGCTGAAGACAAGTGCCTAAATTCCACTTTTATTTTAGAGAGAAATAAATATTTCTGAAGGACTCCAGAGAACCAGCCAATAACACCTAAGTGCCTAAGTGAGGAACTGCTGTGGCCCTGGGCCAAGACTACTGTGATTTCACCATGACTTATTGGAGCCGCACTCTCCTTGCGGTAGGAACACCTGCCTGATGATGGCTGAGGAAATCTGCAAATCAGCTCTAACATAGTTTTCTTAAATCATTCCAAAGCAGAACCAGCAGGACTATGCACATCCATGTCACTCTGTTTTTTCTAGAGAGAAGGAAACAGCCTGATAGTCCCTTTTCCTTCCTACTCCATCTGGAATCTCATCCTTGACCCAATATCCTCATGTGCCTCAGAAGCCACCCTTCTTCATATCAGCTTTCACAGCTGCCCAGAACATATAAGTTTGGTTAACCTTTTAGGTGTCTCCGTATGAAATACTGCTCACTCCTCTTGTACATCCTCTGGCCCCAGACAAACCTCAAGATTCACCACCCCTAGTGGGATCTGAAGAAGAAAGGAACTAGGCTTATAGTGGAAGCCATTTTCGCAGAGGGAAATCTAAGCAAAACCACAAAGAAATGTGCGAATTTTCTGCAGGCCTCTTTTTTCTCTGTTTCTTTTGCTAGATAGATGGTAGGTTAGCAAGCAAGGACAAACAAGCATGGCAGCTTTAGATTGATCATTGACCTTGCTAATAACAGCTGAACTTGGGGCATCATGAAAATTGCCATTGTGTTACATGCACTGCATTTAGTCCTTGCTTTTTGCAGCGGTAGCTGAGGAATGAAGATCACCATGTTAGTTACCAACAGTACAATTACACTGTGAAGACGTACCAAATGTACCCTATAAATTATCTCACACTATATATTACTGTGTCATTTTTTATGCTGAGGGTAATGGAACTCACTCAATAATATATGATCTCAGTGCAAAAGTCTGATTGTATACTATGTATGCACGTTGTTCATCATTTCCAGAAAGACACACATGATTCTGCTCTTTCTTTTAACATTGTTTCTCAGCTCCCTCCTCCACACCTACAGAGTTCACCAATCTGCACCCAAAATGATGATGTTGTAGCAGATGATAGCTATTTTCATCTTTTCCCTCAGCTAATAATGGACACAGTTCATAAGCCTCTTCCTTCTCATCACTTAATAACATGACAGATGACCTTAAACACGCTGGCATGATGCTCTGGAGCAGCTTTACATCTCTGCCTGGCCAGGTCACGTGTGAGACTGTACACACACATGATTCCTCTGGTTCTGCTTTCAAGCCAATTCTGGTCATATAAAACCAGTGTAAATCCACTGAAAATAAGTTAAAAGTATCTATGTAGCATTTTGTTAATATAAGACACCTACTTATTAGTATAATTGATTATATTTACTGTGCCTCTAAGCTGAATAATAGGACCAATGGGAAATTCTTAACAAGAATGAACTTGAAGGAGCCTATGTACTGAACAAAGAGAGCTTTTAAGGAGAAAGCCATCCTTCACTGAAGAGGATGTTTCTCCTTTGCAAGACCATGAACAATGTTCAGAATTCCCTTCTTGATGTTTCCCAGTAATAATGTTATAAAGCCAGGCTAGTGTTGTTGCTGATCCATAAGCTAAGATTTGCACACTTGGAGCCCAGTCCTGTGAATCTCTGCATTGTCCACAAGGCTACCTGAGTACTTTAATGAAAGTCAACTGGAATGCTTGCCTGAAAAATATCATTCCACTTCTGAAGCACTTGCAGGGTTGGGCTTTTAGGTTAATTCAAATTTTTGTATTGAAAGTTATTTAATAATGAAAAAATTGTAATAAATATTTTTTTAATCTGTGCAATACAATTACAAGATCCACTACCGATTGTAGGAAAAAAAAAAAAAGATTTTGCATAGCTGGGGTTGATAAATGATATTTTTTGTTACTAATGGAACACAAAAGTGGGTGAGAGAAATAGGCATACTGTGAAGATGTCATAAAAGTGCAACTTTATACATTTTTCTCTGCTGCTATAGTTATTTATACAGCTTATATACGTGCCTAAAATTGCCAGAACTATTATTTTATGCCATGATATACTATGAATTTCCTTTCAGTTGTAGAACAGAGAAAAGAAAATGTGTGAGCTTTAAGTTTATATTATGTATTATATAGAGTTATTTACGCTTTGACTTTGAAAGCAAAAAGTTAAATACTAGACAGGTAGGAGTACACGAGCACTTAGCAGTGCTCCTCAGCCTGAGAGTTAATTTAAGGGCTAGAGGGATGAGAACAATAACCATCTAATCACTGTATTAGCATCTCCTCTCAGGGCCACAGATCGGAGCAACACATCTGACATTCAGAGATTCAACTTACCGCAGCCATAGAAGCTACCAAGGAGGGGCATGGCAGGTGTCGACATTTATTCAGATTTCTTTCACTGCTTCAGACATGCAGTTTGTGTGAATGTGATGCAGTATAAAATGACAACCACTCCCCTGATGGCCCTGTCACAGACGTTCAGGCTTTGGAGCTGTACGCTCTGGGACCTGTGGTCCCAAGGGGCTGCGACTTTGAATAGAAGATGAGTGTGCATCCCTGTACATAGGCAGCTCGCTGTGGACCCTGTGCCCTTGGCTGTCCCTCTCAGGCTGACGAAGTCAAACTCCTGACCTGCTGGTAGCACCACTATGGCCAAAGCAAACCGGTCTGTTGTCAGTGACCTCACAGATCGACAGCCAGTTCAGACTGGGATTTGGTTTTTAAGTCTGGCAGGAAATACTGGAGACTAGGGACTAGCTAAATTTAGCAAATACTGTGGAATTTGGGCACATACAGTGTCAGTGATGCTGGTAGATTGATACGCGTGATGATTTGGTTGTTTCTTGGTTTATTTGAAAGCTAAAGAAATACTGTAAGTAACGTCAAGGAGCTAAATATGTATTGCTGTACAGCAGGGCAGTATGTTATAGTGAAAAAACCCACGATTTTGAAATGTGGCTAGCCATAAATTCTTTGCCAGTGCCTGGAGTAGTGTCTGAAAAACATCTTCAGCACATATTCCATTCTTATATGCTATATAATTACTTAATTTTGTGTTCCTAACAAACACTGGGTGAACACAGAATTGTACCACTATTGTCAATTTAATTTATGCATTTGTTAAGTATATTTTTATATTTTTAGCTACAGTCAACAAATCAAATATATTTGAGTGTATTTTACACATTTTTTTTTAAATAGTTCATGAATAAAACATTCATTTAAAAAGAAAAAACATGTCCTCATCTTCTGTTTGGCAGCCTTTGCATTGTGGATTTTGTTGTCCTGCTGCTCAGAGAAAAGGTCATAAGTGAGTTTGATTTCAAGTGAGACGGTATTCAGAGAACATTAAATTCATCAGAAGCCTCAGCCTGTTGGGGGAAAGGGATCTCTGCTGTTGCCCGCTGGCTGCATTAGTGCCCATGTGGAAAGATAACCCACGTTCCCTTCGCCTCCCTGGTGCTCTGCCCTCCTCCTTTAATAAACCA